CATCGAAAGTATGTTAACGTTAGTGACAAACGAGGTCGCGGGCTAAAACTAATGATATTGTAAATGCGATCGATCGAACGGCTTTGAATGATATTTGAAACGAGCAAGTATTAAGCTAACTGGATAAATAACTAGTACACTTGATACTCTCAATTTATTTAAAGTCGAATATTTCATTGCAAAAGAATAAACGCAGTTCGAGGCGAGCACAAATCTTCAAAGAGTTTGTTATCTGGTAGCGACCCAGTCGAGACTTACAACTAAATATTTATGAAGTGAATAAGTTAAGATAAATTGAGAAAAATAACATTCCTGACCCACCGGTGTTAGATTCGAATTCCGGTTTTTAGATTAACATCCATCCGACTAATTTTATCTAAGAATTTTTAACCCGTACCAATCGGACAGTAACTGGTTTGCTACTCCGTGACACGTTGGGCGAGCTTCTCTCAATGTTTCTCACGCGGTAAATCCGATATCCATGGCTTGTTAATTATTGAATTATTCATTCGTCTTTGATCTAATTTCATATAGGAAATCGAAATATGGTGCACGGCCTCTGGCAGACAGAAGCGATATCGACAACATCGTTACTAGTCTGGTTTCAAAGCAGTCTTGAGAACCTCATGAAAGAGGGCTCATGAGTAAACGACCAACCGTTTGGCTAACGGCTCAAGGAAAATAGTCCTTACAGATAGAAAGGTATAACAAAAAAAAAAATTCCACTCCAAAAGTATATAGAAGACACAGATAACAATAGACTTTGTGAATTTTTGGTTTATTTTTTGGCTCAGAATCGTATTTCATTTGGACAATTCTTACAGAAACGGCAACTATATATCTATTTAGTTAGTTTAATTATTTTATAGCTATGAACTATTCTTATTATAGCTAATGAACTACGTATCTAGTTCATCTTCTTTTATAGTCGTTTAAAAAATCATAGGAAACGTTTAATTTCTATTGGAAAAATTAGTAACGTTTAGATTATCCTAAACAATAGCAATAGAAAAACAATAAGTACAAGTGATAACCACGGAGAAATGTTATCGAAAAGAAACGATAGAAGACAATATAAAGGTAGAAATATAGATATTTAATTCGGAAAGACGTCATGTATCAGTCCCATGGAGTAATTTGAATATCATAAATGCCGGAGGCCTTTCCAGTAATCAATATACGAACCCATTATATACAATCGAATTTAATTTTGTCGCTAGCTTAATGGAAACGCGTAACCAATTGCGGTGAGCTTCGACGTTGTATAGAATAAATATCGTTAAAATTTTACAATGTTATAAGAGACGAACTCTTATCGAAATACGAAAAACCACGTCTTTGTTGGCGTTGAAAACGCGGTAGCGCGCACAAAAAAAACATGAGTCGACGGAGTGACGTCACGTGACATACATGGCCAACACGTTTAACGCAACAACGTTAATTTAGCAGACTGCACGGAAACCATTTAAGTCGAGTGCCTTTTTTAATTGTTACATAACGCTATCATAAACAACCTTTCCTTCGAATTACAGTGTGGTGTATTTTTTATGATAAATATGCATTTTATGAGTTAGTGCATTGACTAGACTGCATACGTTACCACTTACAATCAATTACGAAGGTAGACCAGCACCATTAAACCACGATAAATATAATGCAACAAATTTAATACAAAATAGGGTCGACATAAAATTTCGCTTAAAATCAAAGCCGTGAACTAACGGCATCATCGCTCGTAAACTAACGTTTAGGTAATATTGAAGTTACATGTATATAAAATCATGATTATCTTGCGAAGCATTCGTAAATTTTTTCACATTTTTTAACATAAAAACTGATAAATATCGATTGTGACAAAGAAGTCCAGAATATGTCCTTAGGTACTTTACGTCCTATATTATACACGCGAAAGTTTTTATGTATTGCTGGATGTTTGTTACTCTTTCACGTAAATACTACTGAATGGATTTTAATGATACTTTACAATAATATAGCTTATATATGAGAATAAAACAAAGGCTATTATTTATATACATATTTTTACGCCTTCAGCCTATTCTACGCAGACGTAGTCGCGGGCAGCAACTAGTAGCATAATAACATTCCATTAGAGGGAGTAATAAATCGATTCAGTTTCTCGAGCTGAATAGATTCGTCAACAAATTAAATCTTATGAATTGTCCGACGAATGGGGGAAGCCCGGACATCCTCGTGAGTCAGAATAAACGATGTTATAACGTTACCGAGACGGCAGATGTATTTCTAAATAACCAGTACTTCAAATGACGTGTTGAAATGGAAATAAGAATGTTACACTTTTTTTATGTGAAAAAGTGGCAAACGAGCTGGTGGTTCAGCAGATGTTAAGTATCTTGTATTAACTGATGTTTTTGCTTTCAGTCCCGAGACTATTAAAGCTTCATCTGACGCAGAATCGGTGGGCTAGCCAGAACCCACGGGTTTGGGCCCTCCGCTGTGGGTAGGGATGTTAAGTATTAAACGCCGCATATGGACAATTGCAATACCCGTAGGGATGCAAATGCGTTGGCACCTTTAAACAAAGTGTGCCCCGGCTACCTCACTCACCAGACGAAACGCAGAAGTGTAACACTACTACTTTACGCCGGTCTTCCGTGAGGTAATCACCCGGACGGACCTGCCCAATCGTGCAACAGTGAAAACTGTTGCGCGGCCCTGCCACAGTTAACACACACTGCAAAAATTAAGAGATCAAATTTAACGCCATAATTAATTCCATTATAAAATTTATGATTTATACGACTTATAAAACTAAATATGAATCCTAATTTCAGAAATTGTTAGGTAATACTATAACTACTATCGTGGTTAAGCTGAGTGTTATGAAAAGACTTAAATAATGACGCGCTAATTTAATCTCTCTTAATTAATTTTCCGACAAGAAAAACAAAAACGCCTTTTTTATTAAAAGAACAACGTACGCTATTATAACTGATAACGGTGACGGATGAGGTTTGTGACGAGTATATAGTCCTGTGACACGCTTAAAGTGGAGTATAAAAAAGTTGATCAGTAGACGTAGTAGACGATAAGCGGACACCAAATGAAGGGACAAAATATATTAATAGTACAACTACTGAAAAATACTGTCATTATGGTCACCTTACTAGTGGAGAGAGTGGGCTGCTATTGTCATGAAGAGAAAAAATGTTAATGAGAAAGGTTTCTTTTCAATTCACAACACAAGAAGAGGTATTATACAGCTCATATGGCACATATCAACACTATTCTAAATTGCTTAATAATTTGAACGCTTTGAAGCATAGTGTAACTGTGATGCAACCATATGCATTAATTATGTTGTATAAAATGAGTGAAAATGGTCAAGATGTTTCATTAAAAAAAATACCCAAGCCAACATTTAGAAATTTTTGTTAATTAAGTTATTTTTCTCAAACTTTACAAACAGAAGTGTGAACATCTACTTTCATATGCCGCAGTTTAGATACAATCAAGTGGACAGTTCAACAGGACAGAACTAACGACTCTGGATTTTAATAACATTGATGGTATTTGGTGAACTTTGAACCTCTTTTCAGACCGTAGTGTCAGCACTAAATTGGGTCACATGACAAAGGGACGAATCGAAAATACTAACAAACGCTATGGTTATCAAAAATATCCCTTGCAATGGTAACATTTCAAAGCAATGAGATTTTCTCAACATAAAACAGCACTACACACATCAACATCACTAGTAATCAAACCATCATTAAACATGCACAGTATGTCTGTGTGAATTCATAACGGTCCACAGTGATTTCAAGTTGGACTTTTGCATGACTGTTAATGAGATTAGCAATAGTGAGTGTAGGTGAAGGAAGACAATGCAAACAATGTTTGGAACAATATTTACTATAGACAAATACAGGCCAAAAAAGAGCTACATTCTACAAAAACAACAATGTTTATATTATGTCCAACTTTTATTAAATTTAATGATTTAAAATAAAAATATTTCAATAAAACTGACACAACAAAGAGATAAAAGAGCCTTGACCTGTCATATCTGTGTATCCTATCTGTTGCAATTAAAATAATTTTAAGATAAAAGAAATAACAGGGACATACCCCACATGATTCATAAGGTTTCATAAATTTATTTTTATAATGCATGATGTCATTGTACTGAATAACTCAAAACAAAAGGACTTGTTATTCTGGAATGTTTCTACAGATCAAGAATCTATGTACATTTTTTATCTTATCTTATCTCTTTCCTAACAGACCAACAGTGTCGATTGATATAGAATAATGTATTAATAGTAAATGCAACTAACTTAAAGCAAAATATTACAGAATTTACCACACAACACACAATTTCTAAAACAACATGTTCCGATGCATGCACAAAAATTAGCTAACAGACAAGCATTGAGTATGCTTAGATTAGAAGTGTTTTTTGTGTAAAGTACTGCATATGCTAAGAAACAAATGTTATTTTTGTGGTTTGGAATGGAACTGGATTGAAAAAATATGAATTTAAAAAAAAATATCATTAGATTTAAAAATTATTTCATTTAACTTAATCAGTGTTGTGCATTTCCAGTAGAGCAATATATAATGGCATTATGACAAATTAAATTGCGTGTATTAAGTGGCAACTTTCATAACATATATTAAGTAAATTCATGTTATAAGTTCTTATAACTTATAACCTTGACATTAGGGAATGACAAGGAGTCCATTGTTTCAATTCAAATTAATAATAAAATAAATAAGCAGACGGGACCATTAGAATACTGAATAAAAGCAGATAGCAATGTATTATATTTCATATTCAAATGTTTCCTAAATGAATTTGTGTCTCAGGTTCAGTAGGACAGGGGCACAGTGAGCTAACAGTAATTAAAATTAACATAGTGACCTCCTGGATAGACTCCTGGATTCTGCCACATAGTCCACAGGATTATGCTGTAGAAGAAAAAACAACCTTAGAAAACAAAGTAATGTATACATACACATGGTGTTGTAGTTGGCCTTATCGGTGTTATTTAATTTTTCGGAAGCCGTTTTGAATATATACTTCAGCACTTACTGAGACTAAACACTGATCTGAAACAAACAAATTGTACCATTGTGTCTCAGTAGATTACAAATATAATAAAGAATAAACATAAAAATTCATATGAACCAATTGCTCAAGGCAGTTGAAAAAATATCAAAGTAAAAATTATTGTTATTATAATTAGCATACTTCAAACAAATGGGAATTATTGTGTTATATATGCATATATTGCTTATATAACATCACAAACAAAATATTATTAATGTTTTGATTAGACTCACTGAAATTATGGTGTAATTTTCAATGTTTTCATAACGGAATTATAAGCTTTCTATTTATATCACAAAAGTGATTTCATCGCTTTTATATTTTAATTTAAAGATCATATAAATATTATATTACTTCAACGTTGTATGATTTTCGAAATTCATGGTCTAGAAAGTACTAGACATGAATGGCGCAACACAAGATCGATCCGTGTCGTATATGTGGTTTTACATTATATCATATGTAGTAGAAAACATGACCTTACCTTTATATGCACTAACGTAGTAAGAAATCTTTAGAAAATGACTATATGCAGAGCAAATACGTTGAATGGCTTGTCTACTAGTAAAACAACTTCAAAAAAACCACTTTCGTTTTCGCGTTGTACTTTCAACAAATTCGCTTTTCTTAATGTCAAAACTCAAAACTGACAGTCCCATAAGTTTCTAGATTAGTGTTGCCGTTTTGTAGAAGTGGGCGATACAAATCGTATCAGATATGAAAACTAGATATTAGTACAATATCCGAATATCGCTTACTGGCTCGTTCAATATATATGTATTTTACAATATCTGATATTTCCGAAATCTGATGTACCGTGCTCGCTCGCTATACCGACACGAATCGCGATATCATACGCGTTTGCCACAATATCTGATTTTTAAACAGATTTCGAGCGACAAAGCGCGTGAGATACTCACTAGTTAGAGCGGGACGGCAAGCAATGCACGATATCAGATTTTTAAACAGATAAGCGCGTGAGATATACTCACTAGTTAGAGCGGGACGGCAAGCAACGCACGATATCAGATTTTTAAACAGATTTTGAGCGACAAAGAGCGTGAGATACAAATATTACACTAGTAGAGCAGTCGGCAACCAAGGCACAATATCAGATTTTTAAACAGATATTATGAATAAGTTAAGTCATTTTGAATCTTAACTCCATCTAAATAAGATCCGTTTTATTTAAATACTGATCATGGTATCAACGAGTACTTCAACGATATTATTATATTTTTATTCTTTTGTTTAGCCTTGAGCCGTAACGGGCGACAAAGCGCGCAGTTAAGTAATTTTGAATCTTAACGGCATGGAAAAAAACCTCTGTTGTACTTAAATACCAATTACGGTATTAACGAGGTCTTTATATTTTGTTTAGCCTTGAGTTGGATTGCATTGGTACCTAGCGCGTAATAGTAAGGGATGAAAAATGTACAATGGAAATTTTTTAGGAGGTAAATTTTTTGTGAATATTTTTATTAGTTAAATTTTATTCATATTTTTGGAAAAAAATAAAACTACATAAAAAGAAAAATGTAATTTAATGGTGCTGTGCTGCTTTGGTGGAAATCAGACCAAGGCTTATGTGCCTTGTGTGTATATTTTAAATTCATCCGCCCTAAGTTATAATACTGAATGTATTATTTCTTACACAAATTCTAAAAATATTGTCACTCATGATTGCGTGTTCTAAAAGTATGTTAAAGTCAATTATTAAGCGATATATAAGATGTTAAAACAAATCATTTTTATATTACTTCAATTTCTATTTTTAATGAAATTTTTAATTTAATCAGGTAATTTTGTTTGGTAATGTTTAAATTGTACCTTAATAGTATAAAAAATCGTTAGTCATTTTAGTGGGTTTTCGAATTTATTTAGGAGTATTCTTTTGAAGAGTTGGTATCACTGGTAATGGGAATAGTTATGGTAATTTCATTTGAATTTTTTTTTTCTTTTTAGAATTCAAGGTGGATACGGGGCCGTAAAATATCTAGATATTAAAATACATAGTTTCGAAATCTGATATTTGAAATCGATATCTGATTCAGATACGGTACTCAGAACTCAGAAAGCGATACGACCCATCTCTACCGTTTTGTATATAATAGACCTACTCTATGTTTTGTATGTGGGTAAATGCTAGTCGTTGGGTACGGTTCTATAACGCCAAAAGTGCTAAATTATACTTGAATATACAAAAAAAACGGTCTAATTACTAATACGGTAATTAAATAACTTGGAATTACAGGTGAATGTGATTAATTGTAATTGGTGGCCATGGTAATACCGCGAAGTTAGTCACTTTGCAACCATCTTCATCATGTCGTTTTTTGGGGGTGGGTGTGCAAGCGCATTGTAACAATTTTACTCTCAAACTTTTTTCTAAACGCGCCAAAACAAGTATGACTTAAAAAATGCTAAGATAGGAGAAGCGTTACTGGTGCACGATGACACTGTTCGCTCTGCTTCATCTATAAAATAGCTTCAAAAATCACAGCAGCTTGTACTTTTGTAAATTAAATTAATAATCAAAATTACAAGTTAAATCAAACAAAAATATGCAAAATAATTTTACAATTCACTGTTCGATTTTGGCAGAACGTTCAGAATTGTTCGCTTTAACAAAGAATGAATAAACGATGTAAGAATCAGGCTTGCCTTGCCAACTTAGGACTTTTTACCCCAAATTTAGGAATGACAATATAGAACTATTTTATTAAATAAAACTAGATTATATTTTATTTACCTTTAGCGTAACATAAAAAAATTCATTTAAACAATATCTTTGAAAATAATACAGGGCTTTTTTGGGGGCTTTTGAAAATTGCATTTAGTGTTTTTCATCTTGATTTTAGTGCCCTTTTTTAGTAGTTGGCAACACTAAGAAGTAAAGAAACTTCAAGTTCAAAGTAGAACTAAAAGTCTAGAATAGAAATAAACTGACTGAAGATAACCTACAATTTGTATTCTGTGTCTGGTCTGGATTAATAAATAAACTAAAGAATTGATTGAATAATGTATCGTTTAGGTATACGAAGTTTGATCCGTGTTCAGTTAAAACGTAAGCTGCTAAAATAGATTTTCGCTATTTAATTTACTCAGGAAGAAATTAAAAACAAATCTCGAAATTTCAGAATGCTCCAGGTCAATAACTTGTACTCAGGCAGTACAAACTACAGATTGGCGGGTTTCTCGCGGACTTCCTATTAACAAAAACGCTGAAGGAGTTCTTACAGATGGCCCCGACTATACCTTTTTGGACGGAAGACCTACCCCTTTACTGGTATACTTAATTACATTTTAATAACATTAAAGGGCAATCAATACACACACACCATTGTAAACATTTACCAAAAGAGAAGTAGGAATTCACTTTAAGTTTTAAATAATCAATGCAAACAGTAATTTGTGGAATATCAAATTTCTCCTCGATATTCAATAAATTGAAATGTGAAAACTACTGAATTTATTCAGTTTAATGTACCATGGACATAATACATATATGAGAGTATATACTTTATTTACAATAACGTTTTCTGCCCTTAAGATATTATTAAAGTCTCTGTATATTAGTGGCTTTGGTAATAATTTACATTATGGCAATTATAGTGGATTACTTTTAGAAATTATTTTAATCAATAAAGAGACATATACTTTGTTAATGATAATCAAACAAATGTATTTGAAATAATCTAAACATTATAAAATATAATAAAATAATCTAAACATTAAAAAATGAGTTTTTTAGATGAAAAACTTTATTGTACCTTATATCCTATACAAAACTCGGTATTATTAAAAATTGTAAAGAAAGTAGATAATTCTAGATTCAGATTTTTAATTTTGTGCATTATAAGTTAAATAATTCTTTGTTTTTATTTTGTAAATAAACACAAGTCGTAACTTACCCATATGTTACAAATAGCAGATAGCTGCTGTAACAAACCATATAACAAACCATATAAATACATATAAAAAATAGGATGAGTCTTGTGTTTATTCCTCTATGTTAAAATTTACCCTTAGCTGTTAAGTTTTCATTTTATTCATAAAGATTAAAATCATCATATTTTAATTTTTTGTACTCGTTTAGTTTTTTCTTTAAGCTAAATTATAAAAAGAAAAATGTAAAGTAATAGCCAATAAATGTCATTACACTCGGTAATGTAACTCCTATGCCAAGGGTACCATACATAGTCCACACCCACTGCAAATTGATGGACTTCACATATCCTTAATTTTTTTTGTTACATTGAAAATATTCCGGGTACCGCACAGTGTTTTCCTTCCCATCAACACACAAGAAAACTTTTTTATACTGTTCATTTTATTTAATGATTAATGAGCAGTCAATTTAAATATTTATGGAATTTGTATGTACTATTTACAATTTACATTTCAGCAAAAACAAAAGTTACGAATGCTCAAAAATAGAGAAGTTGCAGCAAAAATTGTTGAATTAAGCACAGAATTAGACTTTGCAAAAAGCAGACATCAAAAGTTGTTAGATGCTAAGGAGAGAGAGAGACAAACCATCTTGCAAAATAGACTAAAGCCAAAGGGAAATGCACTGCTGAAGAAGTAGTTAATAATGTAAATTACTTTTTTGTTAGATATAAATAAATATTAGTTTTCATATTGGTTTCTTGATTTTATGTGAATATTACACTTATCTCCATCTAGTGGGTAGTCATCCCACACTACGTTGGCCAGTTCCGAGCGACCACTAGAGAACCTTTCTTACCCAGCGGTTATCATGTGCAAATGTGCAGGAAGTCCATGGATGCAGGTGGCTCGGAATTGTGCTTTGTGGCTGTCTGTGGGGAAGGTGGTTTTACTGTGGTAGGGCCGCGCAGCAGCCTCGGCTGTTGTACGAATGGGCAGGCTCGTCCGGGTAAGTACCACGACCTCACAGAAGACCGGCGTAAAGTGGAAGTATAATACTTTCGCGGTTCGTCTGGTGAGTGAGGTGGCCGGAGCCTAATTTTCAAAGGATGTCAACGCATCTGGAACCCTCGGGTTAGCAGATGTCCATGGGCGGCGTTATTAACTTAACATCAGGTGATCCGTCTGCTCGTTTGGCAACTTATCACATAAAAAAAAAGAAAAAAAGTTGTATGTTCAGCAGTGGACTCAAACAGGCTGAAATGATGATAGTTGTATTTATTAAATGAAACTAGTTTATGGATTTCATCGAGTTTTAATTTTGATTTTTAATTCCCGACGTATTGAAACCCTTTCCATCATTCATGGGACAAACTGAGATGAACTACTTTCATTTAATAAATTTTAGTTTTTATTTATTATCTATTTACTCTAAAAACCCGAAGATAGTAATAACACAAACATTTAATTTTTTTTCATGTTACAATCATCAAATTGCTAACAATCAGATGTATTCATTTCATTGGAAGGAATTTGTAGGTTTAGGAATGAATAGTTTTATTTGTTCTGTTTTTTTTTTAAACATAGTATTTCATGCATATCTCTATATGCGTATGATATAAATTTGGTCGTGGCAAATTAGAGGCAAGCGTAAATATTCTAATTCATGTGTTTTTTTTTGTTATTAAACCTTATAGGCATTAAATTAACACCTAGTGATGATTTTTAATCGTAATCCACTAGAGCGGAGCGACGGGTGTGGCCAAAAATAAATTTATATTACTCATAAATTATGTCAACATAAAAAAATGGCAAAATCGTTAAAAAAGGTTTGATAATAACATCACTTACGACATTGTTTCTTATAAGTTTAATTTTTTTTACGTTACAAGTTGCCAAACGAGCAGACAGTTCACCTGATGTTAAGTGAATACCGCTGCCCATGGACATCTGCTACACCCGAGGCTTGCAGATGCGTTGACAACCTTTTAAAATTGGGCTAAAAAAATCGAAGTAGCCTAACTTACTCCTTATTTCATAAGCTATCTGCCAGTGAAGTGAACGTCCCATCAAAATCGGTCAAGTTGTCAGAGATTAATCGGAACAAACAGACAGACGGATATGTTCCTTATATACATCCATATGCATTTAGTAAAAAGCGGTTATTTTTATATTAAAAACAGTCAGTCCAATTTTATTTATTTATATAGATAAATATTATGAATATATATACATAATATAAACACCCAGACACTGAGAATGTGTTAGATATGTAAGAATAAGTTAGTTGTAAACTACCAGTTATACTGTAAGGTTATTAATTTTTTTTAAACTGTTACTAGGACTCCTCACTTAACTTATAATACAACAAATTCAAAATCGTTGTAATAGAGATGTGACTGAATGATATTGGGCATGGGAGGAATTTCTAAATTGGATATTCGTCACTTTACATGGAAATTAGTTAGAAACAATGCGCGACAAAGAAGGACTCGGCGGGCAACGAGTTTTGAACTTCTAACGTTGTAAATAAAACTTTTTTAATTTTGTAAGGTGGGTATATTGAATATCTGAAAATGTTAATTTATACCTTCTTTCGAATTTTATGTATGTAGATATGATGACACATTTGTCAAACCCAATAAAAGTAAAAGTTATATTATTTACAACCGCGACCTCATTTAGACTCGGTTAAAAAACGTATTATAAGCAAAATTATATGTATAAATTACGTATGTAATACATACATGATCATGTATAGTGTAGTGTTACTATATAACATTGAAACTTACCTCGTCATAATTTTGAACACAAACTTTGTCCTGTGCCCTATTAACGGTTTTATAAATTTTTTCAGAAAAGCCTCGGTGATTCGGATTGGAATCACTCGATTCGGATATTCCGTTTTCCATATAAGGGCGTAACTTGAACGGTTCGCCCTCATTTACTTCAAACAGTAGTTAATATTCTGATCGGAGAAACCGTGAAGTTTTTTCTTGTGTGGGTTCGTTAGAGTCTTAAGAAACTGGATTAGGGATCTCATAATAAGTATTCGGGGCATGAGAACTTACTTTTGCAACATTTACACAGGCGTTTGGCATGAGGTTCGTATGTTGAATAGATGTTTATTATCCAACTCCATTTTTATATTATCACGTCTTGTTAAGGGATTTAAGTTTTATTGTCGTCTGATTGATTGATAGTCTCAGATGTTCAGCGAGACTGACTGGTGTTAACTATTTTAAAATAATACCGGTCGGAACACCACCCCAACACCACACCTCGTGTTGCAAATATCCATGGGCGGCGGTTATCAATATAACATCAGGCGAACCGCTAGCTCTTCTCCTTCTCACCTAAAAGAAAAAGAAGAAAGAAGATGTAAATAAAAAAAAGATCCTGCATGGATAACACTAAGTGTGCGCCGTTCCGATCTCCATTTTAAAGTTATTGATGAAATCATAATGATGTCTATGTATAGACTTAATGCTTTAATGATGTCTATGCAAAGTACCTGTACCCTGTACCGTCAAAATACGTTCTGAGATGATTCAGGGAAAGTTTAAGGTAAGGTACAGTGTTTAAAGAAGTCTCTTACAGTACAGCTAACATTTATTAGAATGTCATTATAACAACTTGGGAATTCTAAAATTTGATTTGTCACATACGCAGTTTCGATTTAATTTACAAACGCCGGGCTAAGTTTTCGGATCGATCCTAACTCGGTTTGTTGTCGACTAGATTCATATTATGTCCAAACAACTCGTAACTGTCCAGCGGCAGGTATTGTGATTTAACTTGTTAAAACTTTTAACTCTACCGACACATGCGACTACTCAGTACACGCTAGTTTAATAGTGTTAAGAGCTAGTGTTACAGAACTATCGGAATGGTGATAAATATTGGAAAATATTTGACGACTCGATTGGCGTGACCCATAAGGGTTAAGGCCCATTTACATGGTGCCAGTTTCTTGCCTGTTGCATACAATTAAATTGAAGCAATAAATGAGTTGCATGGTCTAAACAACAAAGGGTGTAAACAATTATTGCGCGCAATTTATTGCATTCAATTATTGCTCTTGTATGTACAAGAAAATGGTATCGTGTAAATGGGCCTTTAGGTTTACGTATGTGTCTCTCAATGCTGTACAAAAAGTGTATTAAGAATTAAACAGTATTTTATTTACTGTTCCATCACATCGTGTACCTAATATAATAACTGAACCGACCCGCTTTCGGAAAAATAGGACAATTCTAGTTGCTTGATTAAAAACAAGGCTGCCATATATTTTTCCTTATGGCCAGTGAGTCAATTATGGAATATTGTTACTATAGCTATGTAGGAAAACGTAACATTGCTTTATGTGGCTTTAACAGATTTAGCCGGTCTCTTTGCTCGGAAAAAGTCTATTATGTAGATTTGAGGCTTGGATGAGCAGAGTTTAATGTCGCCATTTGAATCAAAATGTTTCCTTATAAACGAAAAGAAGAAAACGCAATTTACATTTTATATTGATTTCTAGCATATATTTTTTTAACAATTTGAAGCCTATTTATGTAAATATAATTCATGTGTATTACATTCGCGTAAGTAAGAGTAATTAGTTCACTGTAGGACCACGCAACAGTATTTACTTTTTTTAATAATACCACTACAACGGAACGCAACATCGTGGAGTAAATCTTCAATCGCGAAAACATCTAAAAATTCTCATTTCTCCAAAGTCAACAAAAATCAGCAACAATGAGAAAAAAACTCTAGTTTTGATGGTGTATTTCTAAAATAATAATAACCTTCAAATACACTCCTAGACGAGCAATTCATACAGCTTTAATCGCTCATGTAATATAAACAATTTTAAGTGAAAATTTTTAACTTCCTTAAAATGTTATTTTAACTACAGTTTATAATATAACATAAACTAGTACACCACAAAATAGAGAAAAAAGTGCATTTTTTAATTGGGATGACTTTTATAAAATTTTATTAGAAACTTTTTAAAGTCTATATTAAAAGATATTTATCATTTTAAAGTTTTTTATAGTGCTAATCTCTGCACTTAAGATTGAACATTAAAACATGTTATTGTTTGCTGGAAAGGATATAACAATAGATGCGCCAAGCATTGCTTCAAATGCTAAATAACAATGTAGAAAGAAGGACTTAAGATTTTTGTCGGTGTGGCTATCAGCAGTTTAGCTTAGTGGCTAGAGCGTCAGGCCGCGAATGCCGAAGACGTGTGTTCGATTCCCACAGTGGCGACAATCTTTTCTTACTATTTCTACATGTTTTAATATTTATCATTATTAAGTTAATAGATATTTATGATATTTGTTTTATAAATTTGCTTTGTATTATACAGATAAATATACTTGACGTCAGGCAGGCGGCCGGTCATAAAAATAAAGCTTTCTGTCTTTCTCCCACCTAGGTGTGGGATAAGGGCAGGATAAAGAAGAAGAAAGAAAAAGACAACATTAAAATGTTAGTTTCTAATAAGATTGTAACCCTATCCTATCGGCAAAATTTTAACTATATGTTACGCAATAAACCTCCATTTTAGTTTAAACTGAAAAAACTGAATATGCAACAGGGGCCTGCCGCATGAGTGCGTGCTGTGCACGGTCCTATAAAATCGTTTAGTAAAACTCGGTAGTTGTGCTAAACGATTTTACGTTTCAGTTACTACAGCTG